TTATCATTAACTACCCCCTTCAACCCCCCCCCCCCAACCCCCCACCGCCCCACCCACAACCCCAAAAATCTTTTTCCCTCTTCATTTAACAATGTGCTTCGTATTCTCTTTCACTTTATACCTATTCCTCACTCTCTAAACTAAAACCAAAAGCTAAAACAGAGAGCTTCAAGAACAATAACAATGGAGTTTGACCTTGAAAATCCATTGCCACTTAGCCATGACTCTAATGCAGACATCATTTCTCCTCTTTTCAACATAGAAAGTGATCATATGCCTTCTAAAACTTACCGTCAAAATCTTGAGAACTCAGATTTTCTTATCTCCATTCGTCAAGCAACCATTTCTATAATCTTTCAAATTTCTCACCCCTTTGATCCCTTTCTCTCATATCTTGCCATTAATTATCTTGACCGCTTCCTCTCCTTCCATTCACTATCGGTATAATTACATTTCGCTTTTATTAATATATAAAAAAAAAGAAGTAAAAATATATTGGGAGATAATATTGGAATTCATGTAATATGATTAAGTTTTGATAATGTAGGAAGGGAAGCCATGGATGTTGAGGCTGATTGCTGTTTCTTGTGTTTCTTTAGCGTTGAAAATGAAGGAAACAGAGTACTCTGCAACTGATATTGAGGTACTAATTCTTCATTTTTCAACTTCCAAATACTAGTTGAAACTACAAAAATATAAATGCCTTATGTTGCACTTTCTTTTTGTGGTACAGCAAGTTGGTGGTATTATATTTGATTCAAAGACAATAAAGAGAATGGAGTTTTTGATACTTAGCGGACTTAAATGGAGAATGCGCTCAATTACTGCCTTCTCTTTCATTAATTTCTTCATCTCTTTTTTCAAATTCAAAGATTTACCATTACAGCAAGCTCTAAAAGCCAGAGCCATTGAAATTATATTCAGAGCTCAAAATGGTAAGTCAAAGTTGTCGCATAGTATTAATCTGGATATTTTGATGTTTAAGAATTATAACCTAAAATATCTCTTTTGTTTTTCCATTTTAGATATCAAGATTTTGCAGTTCAAGCCATCTTTAATCTCGGCTTCAGCACTTCTCTCTGCTTCTCACGAGCTTTTCCCTTTGCAATTCCCTTGCTATAAAACTGCAATCCTAAACTGTTCACATGTACATAAGGTAATTCATATTTCTGCTCAATTTCGTTTTTCTTCTCTTTATTGGTTTGCAGCTATTTTTTCTTCTTTCGCAAGCCCATTGATTCCATGCATTTTGTTATTTCCGTATCACATATAGGTCACAGCTGTGGAAGCAGCAATTAATGCTTGTACTAGGGTAGGCTGTCTATAGGGATGAAGCTAGAGTGTCACGAGCGGGTTCAGCCGAACCCGGTAGCTTTAATTCGAACTTTGTATTTATCTAAAAAAAATCCATTAAATATGTATACGTTAGTATTAATTTAGAACCCAATAACTTAAAACGATTAGAATCCCGAACCCATAAACTTGAAATCCGGGCTTCGCCCCTAGCTGTCTACATCATATCTCTTGGGGTGTGGGTTTAACACAAATCCTGTATAAATACGGGATATTTTGTGCATCGAACTACTTTATTTTTTAAGCACATTGATGCCATGCATTTTGTTCTTTCCAACCATTGCTTCACCTCTAGTAAGTAATAAGCTATGGTTGTACTATAATAGGAGTAATAGTATTGGATAGGTGATGTAGGGTAACAAGCTATAAATTGATAAATAATGAACCTTATGATTGTCTAATGTAATTAATGAATGCGGTTCATAAATATAGTTGTTTTTAACATCAGTGAATTGTACGTGAAAAATCCAGCGGCAGAGCTTCCATACTTAATGAGTCAAGTTAAGGTTATTGCTCTGTAATTTATAGCTACTCCTATGGAGTATTACATGGTCTAACCAAATATTTAATAATTCATTGTAAGAATAATGAGGTAATGAATTACATCAAATTAATACTCCTAGTCTCCTACCAGATAAATCGATCAGAGTAGCTGTAATATGTCGCACCTAGTATAGCAAGACACTGAAGTAGTAATTGTAACTATAACATGCAGGTGCACTTATTTCCAGATTTAACTTTTATATATATACTCCTTTCTAAAATTCTTTTACACTGTAAACGCATTTTTACCAATTATATATAATCATCTACGGGTTATCCATCTATGTTCACTATAGAAAGTAGCCTCTAATCAATATTTTAAGTGAGTTGATAGTTGATACTTGATAGCAAAACTTTTTTTTTCTTAGTTGTGCACAATAGTTTCAATCTTTAACAACCACGGTATTAAGTTTTTATGGACTAATAGTACAAAAATACTACCAAAAAAACGGAATTAGCCACAAACTTCATCAACTAATCTGTTATTAAGTCACTCATAGCTAACAAATTTTTTTAATAATCTATCGGAATTCGTTGCTAAATAGTATCAACATTGAATTTTTCTGTTTAGCTATAGAATTTGTGTGTCGCTAATTTCTAATTTTTTAGTAGTGAATATATTACTAATATAATTAGATCACTTGTAAAAGTAAATTACAAACACATCTCTATGTATTGATCGGTAATCAAGTGAAAAAAGCATAACATGCTATTACAGCTTAAATTAAGCGTTACAAATTATTTATGCTGTCAAAGTGTATAGCTTATATAAATTTCCATAGCATGCGTGTACATTTTAATGTGATCAATAATGAAGTGAATCCCTGGTTTATGTAGGATGATTTATTAAGTTGCTATAATGTGATGCAAGAGATAGCAAAGGAAGGATACGAATCAGTTCTTGACATATTGTCAAGCACAAGCACGCCAGTCAACGTACTTGACCTACAGTTCTCGAGCAGTTGGAGTTCAGATAACGAGCCAATTACAAAATCAGAAGATAGCTGTGGCGGTGTACTTAATGCAATGGCCACTAGCAGCAACAGGCAAGAGAACTTGAAACGTCGAAAGATTATTGACAGCAGTTCAGCTTTCTCAGATGCTCACAATAACGTTGATATTGATGTTTGATAGATATTAAGCTATCAATCTGCAGAGTTTTTGATGAAAACGAAGCAGTAGTGTGCCCACTACAAGAGTAAAAAAGAAAGATCACGAAAAGTTTATAATTCATCAGCAGAAGCCTTACTATAAGATAACGTTTATTTGTAGTTGTGGCCCATTGGAGAGTGACACTAGCTTTGCTTTTGCGTCAAAGAACTAAAACTGAAACGAAATACTACTCCTATTATTATAGGAGAAAAAAAAACGAAAATGAGAATGAGAAAGAGGAGATTGTGCCATTGTGGGTACGTGGGAATATGATCATTTGGTTACTGTGGTTTGTTTGGTTGGTGACTTTGCTTTGTATGAATCTGGAAAAGGCAAAAAGACTTAGAAAAAGAAAAAGAAACGAAAAGAGAAAAGAAGGGAAGGAGAATAAAATGAGTTTTATTTCTTTTTGTTTTATTGGGAAGTGAAAAAGAAACAAACACAGTGGCTCTTCGTTGCAAATTAGAGAACTGTATGAGGGTAAGAATAATGAATATTTTATACAAGCGCTTCTCTCTTTTTATTGGAAATGTCATTCTGTGCGCTTTTTGATTCAAAGAAGGGGCACTGATTTTTAATTATTTGAAAAAGAAGTCCAAATATTTTCCTAGTGTACATCTTTTTCCAAAAGTCAATCAAGAGAACTAACTCAAGGACTTCACATTTTGCCCCTGGCTGTTGGAAATTGTAAATAAATAAAAAGAGTTTCAACAGTTGGAAAAAAAACTATAGCATTTTACTTATTTTATTAAAAGTGAATACCCTGAAACTTCCCTAAATTATCATGTGTTTATCAGTTATCTACTTAAACTATTCGGTATCTACACCCATCTACTTACTCAACCTAAACTAAGCTAGTGTTTGACCATAGATTTTCAAATTTATTTTAAAAAATCTGATTTGGGTGAAATTTGATTTGAATATGAAAATCTGTTTGTACATAATTTTTCAAAACATATTTCACTTTTTTTTTGAAAAAATATGAAATGTGACTTATACCTATAAATTTTAAAAATTATATAAAATACCCAAAAATACCCAATAATACCAAACAAACAAACTTGCTAATCTTGTACATGCATAACCTTCCCCGATGCCATTCATTATCATTATCAAAAAACGTAGTCCTAAACTTAGATAAGTTTGGCACAAAATTACTATATTTTTTTTATAATGAACTACATAATACACTATCCTAATACCATAACTTGATATTTTAATATCAACTGCTAATAACATAATTACTAGTCACTATAATTCGTTAAATTGCAATATTATTACAAGATCCATCAGTCCAAAAGAAATAATAGTAATTAAATGGTGGATTAGTTGGGTCATAATAGAAGATGAGCTTTTTTTATAAAACACAAAAGTTTGGGTTAATTTTAAAAACTGTTAAAAAAAAATGAAACAGTAATATTTTGGGCAAAACATGTGTAGAACTAGTTTTGGAATTTGGAAATTTTATTTTCAAAATCTGCCAAAACCTGGATAAAATTGATCTACAAACAAACATATTTTGCCAATTTTTTTTAGTAAAAGCTTGGTAAAATCTATGGCCAAATGGGATCTACATATAAATTTAATTAAGAATTTTAACTAATAACAAAAAAATAATTAAATAGGTAAATTTTTGGGGGTTTAAGAAATCAAAGAAAGAGGGTGAAGGGATAAACACATGGTCATTTATAAAATAAAAAAAATATTCTCTTCCATCTTCTCCGATAATGACTACACCATGTCTCAATCGTGATATTCACCATTAAATATTGGATTTTCCGTTAACCTTTATTTTCTGGGAATTTTAGTTTAGTACAAGAATTGGGATAAAAAATTAGGATTTAGGAAAAATTTCAATTAGGGTTTATTAAAATTTATGGGCTTTTAGTGGACTACATAGTGTTGAAATAAGAAGACCTAAATGAAGAAGAAAAATAATTTTAGAAGAAACTAGAAAAGAAATTTTTTTACATATAAAAACCATAAGAATAAAGGAAGAAGAAAGATAAAAAAAATAAAAGTAATGAAGAAGGCTAAAATACAAAGAAAATAGAGGAAAAATAAAATAAAAATTAAATTTTTTAAAGAGGATAATAGTAACTAACTATTAGACACGGTCAATTGGGGACATTTTTATGCATAATTTCATCTTCCACACGCCTTTTGGCGAGTTACCTTACATATTTCAATAAAAAAATCATCGAGGGCTTTTTTAATATATAAGAGAATATAGTTAATGAAGATTTTGGGGAGGCCAGATAATTTAACTATGTAACTAACACAAACGTAATAATTTAGGGGGGTTTTAAGATATTCACTCTTTTATTAAAAATTTGTAAAACCATGATTTTGTTAAAAAAAATTTGAAAGGAATTTGTACAGTAAACTACAGAATGGGGCTTTAATTAGCACAAGAGAGTGTATATCTTTGGGCTCTGAGGAAAAAGTGAAGATAATGGTCCCAATAAATATTAGAGATTTGGAGATTTCACTATCCTAGAAATATGGCCCGACATTTGATATCTCTGTAGGTAACAGTTGAAAGTCACCACACACTTTCACACAGTTCAATTGGACCACAGCAACGAATTTATAATCGAATGTCTACTGCCGTAATTTATTACCCATCTGTTACATTTTCTTGTTTTTTTTTCCTTATTAATACTCCCTCCGGTCCAAAATAAGTGATTTTTTGGCCTTTTTTTGTGGTCCAAAATAAGTGATTTTTTCAGATTTCAAGAATAAATTAATTATTTTTTTCCTACATTGCCCTTGGAGTAAATAGTGTTGAAGTATGTGTTAGGAGTATTTATGTGAAGAGATAGTAAAGGTTAATATGGTCAATTTTATTGCTAAATGCTAATTAATGTTAAAAGGTGAATTTCTTAATCTGTGTGAAAATAGCTAAAAAATCACTTATTTTGAACCGGAGGGAGTAGTTATTATTCGAACTTGTTTTTTGTTTTCCTGTTTCTCACTTTTATACTTTGGCCCAAGAACTATTATTGTGTTTCAACTGCATATATAGATAGAAGAATGGAGTAGTAAAGTTTTCCAGTATTATTACACTAAGGGTCATTTGGTAGAGACTCTACCGTAGAGTATATAAGAATAGTATTGAATATGGTGTATTAGTAATGTTGAGATTAGTTATATTGGGATTATTTCTCATCGACTATTTGGTTTGATGTATTAAAGGTTTTGAAAGGACAGTTCGGTCTTTATACATGCTTGTCCATGTATTAAAAACTATGATATTGTTAATAATACTAAAGCTAATACAGTCAGACCTCTCTATAACAACATCCCTATATAACAACACTTCACTATAAAAGACAAGCTTTTCCCGAAACTAATTTTCATGTTATGTTATAACATATGTTCTCTACAACAATATTTCTGTATAACATCCAAAAATATGCGGCTGGTTTACGGTCGATATATGTAAGTTTATTTCTTATCCTTTATGATGGAATATTCAATATCATGTACTGATATGCCCCTTTAAACTGATCAATTGAAAAATAGTCTCTTTATTCTACGATAGCCAAATACATATGTCGCATTAGATTCCATCACATAGCTAGAAAAGGAATTTATGCAAAATTTGTACATACATATACATCATTATGGTAGGGAAATGATATTGTATAGTCGCTTCAAAATAATAATAAAAAAAATATATATTTTTTACATTCTATATGTATACGGTAAAATCGGAGGGTCCAACTTTCGGCCATTACAACGCCTCGTGAGCAAGGTTTCCAAAGGCTCGAGACCACGGTCGAGATTTATCCCGAGGGGACATCGGTGTCCAACCTCGAGGCAGCACAAGTCAATGGTTACGGTAGAACAATGGGAAGTTCCCTAGGCGCACGACTAGGGCTGACAAAACCTAGAGGGCTAGCTCTGACCCGTATCAGGGCATTGAGTAGCTATACCTGCCCCATATCTTTATAATTAATGCTTTTGTACTATGTTCCCCCTCATATATAAAGGGGAATCCTTGTCATTTGTAGACATCTGTTGCTCAATACTAAGAAACGCACGAACATTCTCTCTGCTCTCTAATATATTCTCTTGAGTTCATTACTTCATTTATTGCTTACATTCATTGTGTTCTATTTATTGTTCTTCATTTATTGCCTATCATTGATCATAAAAGAGCCATCATCATAGCTCTTATAACTGTTATTTCCCCCTCGATTGCCCCGAATCGGCCACCCAGCTCGACCCCGAGGTCCTGTAATCGAACAGCTCGAGGCCTCCGATCTACCACCGTTTGGTTCGATTATCTTGCCATTTCTAAGCCATAATCCTGATTTCTAACCTTTTATTTAGCATCCTTCGCTTAACAACTAGCATAAAAATAGATCACGTATTTTTAGAACCTCACAATCAAATTTAATTGTTATTACCATTTTCACGGTAAACAGTTTGGCGCCCACCGTGGGGCTAAAAATAATAGTGATTATTTTCTTGCTGGTTTTACTAAATAACGCAAGTTATCTTTCACACTTTTTCTTGTCCAAAATCTTCGATTTCAGGTCGAAATGTCTAACTCAGGAAATGGAGGTGAAAACAACAATCTTGAGGACCACAGAGAGAATGGTGTGAATGTTCCAGGTGTTGATGTACCACCGCGAAACCCTGGGAACGCGCCAGAACCAATTCCCGTGGACGCGGTCTCGCGCGAGGCCCAACACGTCGATATAAGCTCCCACACCAATAGGAGCATACATCAAGTAGAGCAACAAGAAGCTCAAAAAACCCGAACTAGGGAAGAACGGGAGGTTAGCCTTCACGTTATTTTTGAAATGTTGCAGGCACAACAGCTGGCTATTGCTCAGCTACAAAGTCACCAGAAAACTCCTAGCACGGTAGCAACGGGGTTGGCTCCCCCAGCCGAGCAGATACCAGAGAGATCAAGAAACAATGGGTCGGCAGCCGACCTCGCCATCATAAAGATGCTCGAGGATCTCACGAGGAGGATCGAATCGGGCGAGAAGAAGATAGAAGCCAACGACAAGAAGGTCGAGACCTACAA